TTTATTAAGCATCTATCTTCATTCAACGGAGACAATCAAGACATGGGACCACCACCTTCCCGCCGCATCAGAGCAGCAAAATCCTCGTGGTGTTCTCCAACCGGCGAGGAGCAGCGCCGGTCCTGTCTGCTACTTGCCGGCCTGGCAACGGCACAGGCGGCTGTTGCCATCTGCCACAGCGACGGACTGCCTGCTTGCCTGACCTGCCACAGCTGTCGATGACCGGCCACCTGCAACAACTCACATTCTTTGGTGTAGCCGCAGTGGGCGGTGATCCTGCCATGGCCACCACCAACCACACAGAGACGGATGCTTGAAGATTCACCGTCTTATGCGGTTCTTTGTGAGAGCGGGGGAACAACTTCCGATGTACCATTCACAAGACGACGGTTGAATAGATCGATCGCAAGACAACCAAAACTTCCGAACAACAAATGAGGTCTAATAGATTGATTACAAAATGAAGGCATGACGAGCTGCATAATCTATTTATTGTTTCTTTACGTAAATTAAAGTCACCGCTTGTCGCAGGTTTCACTCCAACTTCCTAAACAAAATATTATCTTCATGCGTATTATGCGCTCGTAGTCGAATAAATGTTTCCGTGCAGGACATAAACATCAAAATATCTGCATGACTGACTATTATGATGATAGATAGCGAAACCAATCCTTCTGACATAAACATCAAAACGAATCGTAAAGCAATTGGTAGGTTAAGATCCCGTGCGTCCCGTCGCGTCATCGTTGGTGATCGTAAGATGTTAGAGTTAACGTGACCGCTCTTTTTTGCGACCCCTCGTCTATTTAAACGACCAAACGCTGTTGGCGTCCGTTCAAAGCAACGGACGGAACCGATACAACCCCCCTCCGTTCCTCTCTCTCTCTCTCTCGACCCTTTTTGTGCTCTGTCATGGCGAAGGGGAGAGAACAGGACCAGGTCGAGGAAGGAGGGGGAGGCGGTAGAGGAGGAGGAGGAGGAGGAGGGATGTGGAGGCCGGTGGCGTTGGAGCTCCGGGAGCTGTGGGCTATGGCGGCCCCGATCACCGCCATGAACTGCCTGGTTTACCTGCGGGCCATGGTGTCGGTGGTGTGCCTGGGAAGACTCGGCCCTCTGGAGCTCGCCGGCGGCGCTCTCTCTATCGGGTTCACCAACATCACGGGTTACTCGGTGCTCTTCGGCCTCGCGTCCGGACTCGAGCCGCTCTGTTCGCAGGCCTATGGCTCCCGCAACTGGGAGCTTATTTCGCTTTCTCTGCAGCGCACCATCCTTCTCCTCCTGCTTGCCGCCGTCCCCATCGCCGTCCTCTGGGTCAACCTCGGACCCATCCTCGTCGCCCTGGGGCAGGACCCCGCCATCACTGCCGCCGCCGCCACGTACTGCCTCCATTCCCTCCCGGATCTCCTCACCAACGCCCTCCTCCAGCCCCTCCGCGTCTTCCTCCGCTCCCAGGGCATCACCCGCCCCATGGCCGCCTGCACCGCCGCCGCCGTCCTCCTCCACATCCCCCTCAACATCCTCCTCGTTTTCGTCCTCCGCCTCGGCGTCCCCGGTGTGGCGCTCGCCGCCGTCGTCACCAACCTCAACATGGCCCTCTTCCTGCTCGCCTACCTCCGTCTGTCGCGCGCTTGCGAGCTCAGCTGGGGGGGATGGTCGCGCTTGGCGCTCCGCGGCCTCTCCCCTGTTCTCCGCCTCGCCCTTCCCAGCTGCGTCGGTGTCTGCCTCGAGTGGTGGTGGTACGAGATCATGACAGTGCTTGCGGGCTACCTGCCCGACCCCACGTCCTCCGTGGCGGCCACCGCCGTTCTCATCCAGACCACCAGCCTTATGTACACCGTCCCCATGTCTCTCGCCGCCTGCGTCTCCACCAGGGTAAGTCCGCCCCCACCTTCTTCCTTCCGTTTCCCCTCGGAAGTCGTGCTCGGTACCTGTTGGCTTTTAACTTTAGCTTGTTCCGGCGGGCACCGGACCGCCAGTGTTGCCCTTTCCCTTTACTATATCGGGCAACATCGTGTTGGCCGTCTCTAATCACCATGAAAGAGAGGACTTGTAGTGTGGTCAGCTCGCTCGCCCACGTGGGGACTTTCGAGTTCGTTCTTCCCCCCCTCGCCTCCCCGACACTGTTCTATTGGCCACCTTTATCACTTGTCATACATCAAATCCCAAGCTTTTTTGATACGTGTTTTCAGATTGATGCTCGGATTTCTGCCTGCTAAATGCCGTCAAGGTCTGTTTTTGTTTCGCTCGATGCAGGTGGGCAATGAGCTCGGGGCGGGGCGGCCGAAGCGGGCGAAGACGGCGGCACTCGTGGCGCTCGGCTGCGCGGCCGTGATCGGCGTGATCAACGTCGTCTGGACGACCGCCTTCCGGGAGCAGTGGGCGAAGCTGTTCACGGCGGATGCGTCGGTCTTGCGCCTCGCGGCGGCTGCGCTGCCGCTGGTGGGGCTGTGCGAGCTCGGCAACTGCCCGCAGACCACCGGGTGCGGCGTGCTGCGTGGGACCGCGAGGCCGGCCGTCGGGGCACGCATCAACCTGCTTTCCTTCTACCTGGTGGGCACGCCGGTGGCGGTCGGCCTGGCGTTCCAGCTCCGCGTCGGCTTCGGCGGGCTATGGTACGGGCTCTTCACGGCGCAGGCGGTCTGCGTCGTGCTGGTGCTGGCGGTGGTGCTGCTGAAGACGGACTGGGAGGTGGAGGCATTGAGGGCGAAGAAGCTGACAACCTTGGAGGTGGCAGTCATATCGGAAGAGAAGAAGGGACTCATAGCCAGTGACAGAGATGATGATGGAGCTGTTGTTGGAGTATAGATACCGAGGACAGAAGTGGCTCCACGAGTGGACCAACCAAGGGCCAAGGAACACCTTGGTTCTATCAGCTCGGATTCTGTGGCTTTTAGGGAGTTAGAAGGTGGTGGTTGGAAGGGGAAGGGGGATGGGGATGGAGGCTTATCAATGAAGCTTTTTGGAAGTGAGGATGACTGTTGCTTTTGGGTTGGTTCTGTCGTACAGGTGTTTGGGTCTCTCTCTCTCTCTCTCTCTCTCTCTCTCTCTCTCTTTCTCTCTCTCTCTCTCTCTCTCTCTCTCTCTTTCTCTCTCCCTCTCTGACTGTTGGATGGGTCAATAACTTTAGAGCAAGCCTGCAATGGATAGGTTTGTAGGTAGCTTGTTTCAGCTTTGCCAGGGATCAGATTTTGAATCAAACGATGCCTTCAAAGTGGCATATGGCATATCACTTTTATCCTCTCAAAGTTGGAATCCAGGAAATGGAGGGCATCAGCACCTCTCCTTTCTCTTTTTTGAATGACCCTATCTTTCCTGCACAAAGCATTCTGTTCATATGCTGTGTGTATAAACAAGCTCGTATATCCATATGCTAAATTTGCTTGGATAATTAACCATAGCAGGCAGACATGCATTAGCGTCAACAGTAAAGTGCAGCAGTGAAAGAGCAGGAAAAGCAACCCTACTGTTACTTACCCCCTTTGCAAGCCATGCTTGATTGACATATTATATTGACACTTGCATCGCAAATTCGATGAATGTGTTGACTGCATGGCACACCTTTCTCTAACAAAAGTGTTGTCTGTTTCGCCATAGAAAACATTGCATCTGGATCACTTGGCGAAGGGGGTAATGCTGCTCTCTTCGTGGTGCTTGTGAGCGAAGAAGGGAGCACACAGACAATCAAAGTACACACGCACACACACAAGCGACTAGTCCATACATGGCCATCCCCAGGGATGAGTGGGGCTGCGGCCTCATGCTGTGGGACTGGGAGTGGAGGGCCACTTCACAGGGCGGGCACCTTTTTGTCCCCTCTGACCACCCTGTGTGTTTGCACGAAAGGACCTACCCACCGGTGAATACAGAACAAGCCCACCATCTCCCACAGGGAATAATAATACATGTATACAAAAGAATAATGACTGAACCAAGTGTGGGTGATGCAGCTTTTGCATCTCTCTCTCTCTCTCACATCTCTTCTGCACCACCCCAAACCCATTGGTTTTGTGCTGCGGGATGCCAACAGGCAGAGGAAAGAGTGATCCTTTTGCTCACTCTTGCCTGGGTTGTCCTTCCTGAGGATCATCACCAACAGACATACGAGGCAGAAAGCAAGGAGGGCTTCGGGGGGCTCTTCCTGACATGACAAGCCAACATTAATAGTCCCATAAAATTATTGCTGTTCTCTGCACACAAACATGTAAGATAGGGCATGAGCTGATCCTTGTGCATTGAAGTTTATTTAATTATGAGCATAAAGATTTAGGCATTAACATCTTTCGTTATCGGTATTCGATCCTATGATGTTAAGATTTTTTTAATTTAAATTTAAACTTATTATGTTTTGAATCAAATCCTTACTATTTAATATCATAATTTTCTTTCAATTCAATATTTTGCTGACCGGACTGTAATATATTTATTGTTTATTGCCCTCAAGTAAAAGCAAGTGTACAGTGCAAGCACATGCTCCCAAGCGTTGAATCACCGTCGAATAGAGTGATGGCTCCATCACACCAATGATTGTGTCCACAGCACCCGAACGAGCAAGGACTTGTGTACTCCCGCACGGGAACATGCTTTCGGTACTGCCGTGAACTTGAACAAATATAATATAGTATAATATATATTATTTTGTTATATTCCTCTTTTTTTTTCCCCTTAATCATTCGACAAAGATTGACAAATAACCTAAAGATAGATAGAGAATATAAAGAGATAACAGAGAAATCCTGGAGAAATTTCCTGCCATTATTGATGCCATGCAAAGGATACTGAGAAGCCGCTAAGCTGGCCTTTCTCCTCCCATCGAACAATCAACAGTTACATCGGAGTCATCGCCGTGTAGCCAATTTCTCCTCTGGGCTCAGCTTTTTAGCAGCACTCGGTAGTAACTTCATTGACCCACCAATGGTCCCATTAGACTGTGTTAGCCTTCATTGTTCTTCCTATGCTGCCGCATGATCCACTGCTCCCATCTTCTCCTCCCTTCCCTTGCTCTAGTAACATTGCAAGGAGCACAATACGGATGCAAGTGGTGGTTTCATGCGATAAGTATGATGGGCCTCATCACATGCATCGCAAAGAACATCTTGTCATCATCCTTATCACAAAGGCAAATCCTGCAGAGGCAAGACGAGCAATACCAACATGGTTTGTTCTGTCGTTGTGGACTAGCTATGGTAGCACTTGTAAGGGCAGCAAGTGTGACCACATACTAAGAATCTTTTATCCTGGTCTTCACATGTTCCACATATCTTGCACAAGAATGACATGGCCGTCAGTGCTCCACAATTCTGGTGGCCTCTCTTCGGACTGCATGCTTGACATCAAGCTTTCTCCAGACTCGGTGGCTGTATGATCCTACTGCGGTTCTCATCAAGGTCATCCGGTGTCTAAGAAACTTCAAGTCTGTCACAGACTATGCAGTTTTGGAGGAAGCCACCTTTCTTAGAACAATTGGAGGCTGGATCAGTAGAGTTCTTACCATTTGTACTACATGAGTATCCGAGTCGGAATATCTTTGATAGCAGGTATACTGCAGGAGAAACGGCAAGTTGCCTTTCATCAAATGCAAATGATGCTGCATTCACCGTTTGCTTCAGTGCCACACTTTGTATAGATTGGATGCCTCTGTTCGAGCAGGTTTTGTGGAACAATCTGATCCACAACAGTTGGACTGTATTGTGGGATATGCTCCCACAGACTTATTCTTACAAACATCCATTTGACGAGTCTCTGCAAGATAAGTACGTTTTAAGCAAATGGTGAAGTTACAAATTACAAATTACAATTTGAAGCAAAGATAACGAAGGATGTCACACTAAAAAAATGTCTGGTGTTAAATCTCAAATTTTGATGATGAAATTAATTGATGAAATTAATTGATGAAGTTAAGATCTAATACGTGTTTGAGTGACACAGGACTAATTTCGATCAAGAAAAGATAATTTGATTAAAGCAGAAAGAATTAGGTCGGAGTGGAACATGTCAGGAGATTGAACATCGAGCCGGAGGATCGATCGACGTATTGACAGAAGGACTTTGTGCCATGAGTTCGGGCATCGGGCCGAAGGATCAAACATTACGCCAATGAGATCGGAAGTTGCGGGAGATTAACATATCGATTGAGCAATACGTCGAAGGGGAGTACGATGTACCGAAGGATCGGACGAAGCGCCGGATGAACCAATGACATGCCAAACAACATAAAATTCTAGTCTTGTAATCAGTTATGTCTTAATTGATCGTAGTTAGGTCGTAATTGAGTTAGTTTTTTGTATTACCATGCTAACTCAATTAGGGACCAAATGGGCCTGAGTTGGGACTGTTTTGGGCCAAGTGGAAGGTACATTCAGTCACCCAAAGTTAAGTGAAACCACATATGGAGCTGGAAAAGTCAAGAGCATACTTTTCCAGGCTATCAGACAGTGATATCGCCAGACTGGGCGATGGTACTACCCAGTGTCAATGTGTCAAGTAGTGGTATTGTCAGTCTGGGCGATGGTATCGCCCAGTGTTAATGCTGTAGGCGATGGTACCGTCAGGACTTAGAAAACCTGGGATGAGACCTTTTTTAGCTCCATTTTTTAAGTCATTTGGAGTCTATAAATGTCTCAGCTATTTTTGTTTGGAAGAGCATAAAATTAAGTAAAAAGATAAAAAAAAATATATACTTAAGAAAAATATGTTATAATATCTCTAAAATTAGTGAGTCTCTTCCTCCTAAAGTTAGAAGGTTTCTACCTTAGCTTGTGAAAATGAGAAAGAATTGTAAGGGTAATTGATCTTCGCCCATTGGAAAGAAAATCGGTAATGAAAGTTAATGACATCGAGTGAAGAGGAATCGGGTGTGGACGTAGGTCGGGACGATCAAACCACTATAAAATCTGATTTGCATTTACTTTATGCTTTTCATTTACATTACAAACTGATTTCTTACTCTCACTACGCTCATTACGCTTTCGTATGTTTTAAAGTTAAACATCTTTCCGATATAACTTTATTGAATGAAGTTTCCGAATCGACATAAGTTTTACGAAGTACTAATTTGTTAAATCTCGGATTTTGATAATAAAATCAATTGATGAGTTTGTGATCTAATCTGCGTTTTGAGTAACACAGGACTAGCTTTGATCAAGGAGAGACAAATTGATTAAAGTAGGAGGAATTGGACGTTAGGCCAGAGTGAATATATTAGAAGATTGGACGTCGGACCGAAGGATAAGTCGACATATCGACAGAAGGCTTTGTGTCGTGAATTCGGGCATCGGGCTAAAAGATCAAACATTGCGCCAAGGAGATCGAAAGTTACGAGTGTCAACATACTGATTGGGCAATACGTCGAAGGAGAGGACGATGCGTCGAAGGATCGGACGAAGCACCGGAATAACCAATGACATGTCAAACAATAGATGATTCGTGATAATTTGTCTAGATCGAGTTAGTTTAGGTCGTAATTGAGTTGGTTTCGCGTATAACCATTTCAACTCAATTAGAGACTCATTGGGCCTGAGTTAGGACTATTTTATGCCAAGTGGAAGGCTCATTCGGTCACTCAAGGTTAAGTGAAACCACCAATGAGTTAGAAAAGTAAAGAGCACACTTTTCCATGCTGTCAAGTGATAGTACCGTCAGATTGGACGATGGTACCACCCAGTATCAGTATGTTAGGTGGTGGTACCGCTAGACTGGGTGTTGATATTGCTCAGTGTCAGACTAGCAGGCGGTGGTACCGCTAGTACCTCGAAAACTCGGGGATTTGAATTTTGATTCCAAGTTTTAAAGCCATTTGAGGTCTATAAATACCCCACAAATTCTTGTTTAGAACACACATGAAAAGAGAGAAAAAACTCTATGATTCCAAGGTTGTAAACCCTTTTAAGTATAGAGTCCCTCATCCAAGAGCTTCGTGATAATCCTAAGAGAGGCGTGTGAGGAAATACTTATAAAAGATGGTGTAAAGGTT